ATAAACAAAGAAAGGGATTCTTTAATCATTCCTTTCTTCCCTCCGTAGTATGATAAAATAGGACAAAGTTCAAAAGTCAAAATAATGAATTTCAGAAACCATTATCAACATTCTGCATTCAATTTTGGGAAATAAAGAAACAAACAAAAACTGATTCATTGTTAATATGAATTTTCTTTTAATGTAATTTTTGGATTCATGCATTCATGCAATTATCTCAATAATTTATATGAGGATTTCTCAAGTTTACATATGTATTGCCAGATCTAAATCAAAAGGCCAAATAAACCAAAGAGATTGATTAGATTAAGATGACCACTGAAGATCAATTAATACATACAAATGTTTATTAAACAGTCACTTAATTGCTACTTAAGATTAACTAACACTGTAGTGAAGATTAATAGATCCTGACAGGTTAACTGTTTTTTGTTGTTGTTGTTTGCTTTTTACTTTTTTCTTTTTTTTATTTTTATTTTTTTGACAGGCACAGTGGACAGTGAGAGAGAGAGAGACAGAGAGAAAGGTCTTCCTTTTCCATTGGTTCACCCTCCAATGGCCGCCGCGGCCGGCACGCTGCAGCCGGTGCACCGCGCTGATCCGAAGGCAGGAGCCAGGTGCTTCTCCTGGTCTCCCATGGGGTGCAGGGCCCAAGTACTTGGGCCATCCTCCACTGCCTTCCCTGGCCACAGCAGAGAGCTGGCCTGGAAGAGGGGCAACCAGGACAGAATCCGGCACCCCGACCGGGACTAGAACTCCATGTGCCGGCGCCCGCAAGGCAAAGGATTATCCTAGTAAGCCGCGGCCGGCCAGGTTACCTGTTTTAACAGATAAAAGTCCTTGATATAGCATATAAGATAACTTGCATTAGTGCTATTTGATGGTAAATTTCAATCATGTGGGGGAAGAAAGTGCTATTACACAATTATTTTCATTTAATTTATACATTCACAATGCTGTACACTTTTTAAAATTGATATCCCTATATCTAAACTACACTTACTGTAAATATTTACAGAAATATTTCTGTATTTGAAATGTAACCTAATATAAAGACACAGTGGCCATCATGGGGTGGGAACTTACAAACTGTAGCATAATTAGTCATTCAGATGCTTTGTTGGATATTTTTAAGTACAAATAACTTTGTTACCATTGTAGAAGAGCTGGCAAAAGCATTCAGGTCCAGCGCTGTGGTATAGTGGGTAAAGCAGCCGCCTGCAGTGCCAGCATCCCATTTGGGCTCCAGTTCAAGTCCTGGCTGCTCCACTTCTGAACCGGCTCTCTGCTATGGCTTGGGAAAGCAGCAGAATATGATCCAAGTCCTTGGGTCCCTGAACCTGTGTGGGAAACATGGAAGAAGCTCCTAGCTCCTGGCTTCGGATTGGTGCAGCTCGGGCCGTTGCAGCCAATTGTGTAGTGAACCAGCGGATGGAAGATCTCTCTCTCTCTCTCTCTCTCTCTCTCTCTCTCTATCTCTCTCTTTCTCTCTCTCTCTGCCTCTCCTTCTCTCTCTGCATAACTCTTCCAAATAAAAATAAATAAATCTTTAAAAAAACATTCAGGGAATCAGATTCACTTTTCCTAGATAAGTATACATTTCAGAGACTTTATTTATAAAATGTATACTAAAACTGATTCAAATCCATTTTTGCATTGCTGAAATTTTTGAATTGTAGGCACTTTCAGTGTGATATATTTAACATCCACATTGGATTTAATAATTACATGTAGCTTTTTATATTTTTCTTTATAGTAAATCCTCAAGAAACCTCCAAATTTTTGGTATCCTGATTTACTTTTTTTGTAGTTAGAATGAGTTGGGAACTCTGGCAACGTTATGGTCGCTCATTTGGAAAACAATGATTGAACTGACCATTCAGTTTAATTTAATAACAGTGTTAGGACAGCTGAATTGGTTTTGTCTGTAAATCAAAGTGTATTGTTATTGTTGGAATTCTTAAATTCTTGAATATGTCAATGTATTCTTCCAGGTATGCATTGTTATATCATATCTTAACTAAATTGACTTACGAGTCAATTATAAATTATGACTAATTGAACAGTCTCCATTAGCGAGTTCTTACATTCTCCAGCAGTTTTTTTTTTTTTCCTTCTTTCTCCCATATTTACTACTACTTGGAATTAGAACTGGGATATAGTAACTGCTCAATGAAAAATTTATGGGGCCGGCATTATGACGTAGAAAGTAACAACCATATGGGTGCTGGTTCATGTCCTTGCTGCTCCACTTCTGATCTGGCTCTCTGCTGATGGCCTGAGAAAGCAATGGAAAATGGCCCAAGTACTTGCACCTCTGCTATCCATGTGAAAGACCTGGAAGAACTCCTGGCTCCTGGCTTTGGCTTGGCCCAGCCCTGGCCATTGTGGTCAACTGAGGAGTGAACCAGCAGATGGAGGATCTCTCTCTGTCTTTCCATCTTTCTGTGTACTCCCACTTTCCAATAAATAAATCTGTAAAATAAAATTAATTTGGGTTAGATGTCAAGGTCCAGTAGGTAACCTACTCTTTGGGAAGGCTTATCCCAAAGCACAGTGCCTGCAATGGAGAACCACCACCTCTTCTTCTGATTGAGCTTTCTGCTAATGCACCTGGGAGGCATCCAGTGATGGCTCAAGTCCTTGGGTCCCTGCCACCCATGTGGGCAATCCAGATGGAAGTTCTGGCTCCTGGCATTAGATTTTGTCTGATATGTGAAAAGACAGTCATGGTATCCGAGTAAAATCTTTCCCTTTCTCCTTCCCACCTCTCTCCCCACTCCTTTTCTTCTATCCTCTCTCCTTCCCTCTGTCCATCCTGTGGTTTTCCCTCCCTCCCTCCCTCCCTTCCTCCCTCCCTCCCTTTCCTTCCTCCTTCCCTCTCTCCCTTTCCTCCCTCCCTCCCTCTCTCCCTTTCCTCCCTTCCTCCCTCCCTCCTTTCCTTTTCTTTCTTCCTTTCTTCCCTCTTTTCTTCCTCCTGCTTTCCTATCCTCCCCTCATACCTCCCTTTTCCCCTGCATTCTTCCCTTCCTCTCTACACCCTTTCTTTCCCAACAATATTACAGTAACAAAAAAGTAAAAGTAATATAATCATGTTTGGCAATAATTTAACACAGTTTAATGCATACTTTGTTTTCAAAATCTTAATATTTTAATTTGAAAATTTAGATGAATTATATTTAAACTCTTTATTAAGAGTGACTATTTCAAACCTAGTTATTTTACAGATTAATAAATTTAAAATGTAAACTATATTTAAGTAATTGGCTGTAGCAGTTTTTAAAAAGACCAGATATTACTATATGTATGACTTACAAATAGGTTTTACTAATCATTCACTATATGTGACATTATTTTGAATTTATGTTCCTTTAAGTCAAAACCCAATCTTGTATCTCTTTGGGTCATATACAATAATAAACTTTAAATAGATAAGTTTTAAATTGTGGAATAATAAAATTACCACAAAGGAAAAAAATGTGAAAATGAATTTCAAAATAACAGCAAAAATTTTGTATGTTTTAATGATAATAGTATTAGTCAATGAAAAATGAAGATACAAGATTACTTTATACAAGTATGTTTTATTATTTTAAATGAATCAATTACATCAAGCAAAAATCCATGAAGCATCTATTTCTATGGAAATTATTTAATTATATAAACTTCAAATTTTTACATTACCTCTGATGGAAAGTTTCCCTGTCTTGTTTGCCATGTGTGATTTCATTCACTGCTTTCTTCCCTAAGGGAACTACTTACTTGATTCCATACTTGGATAAAAATGATCTGTCACCATTGTTTCTTTAAAGAGCTTTTCTTTGCTTTTCCCTTTTTAACGCTGAATACTGAGAGAAAAATCAAGGCACAGGGGATTACAGTCCAGCTGTTGTGGCATAAATCAATATTTAAAGTGCCCCAATGGTGATTTTTTTCTTCTTTGAAAGTAGGGCTTTTATGTGCCTCATTTTGTTTTTTATTATTAAAATGTCCAACTTTGTCTAAGAAGTTCTTCAGCTTTAGCTTGCTGCTCAGCTGTGGGGTAACAGTGCAGTAACATAACAGCAATGCTTGATTCCTGTGCCCTTTTTGAGGGGCTGCTGAAGCTGTGAATTTCATGAATAGATAATGACCATACCTCTAGCTGAATCAGGGAGCCTACTACTTTCTTGGCTCCCTTGCCTTCAACAGAGGTTGCTGGGGTTCCATTTTTAAATATTTATTTTTAAAAAAAGATAATTTTCCCCCAAGTATTTATACCTAACTCGGATCACAGTCCTCATCATTCTAGATACAGGTGTAAGGGAAAAAATAACGCTCCCTTCTGGAACTATCCATTTGCAGGAAAGTAGCCTTTGGCTATACCCACTTATTGCTTAAAGTCTTCAATGCAATTTATATGGTGATTTAGGAGCTAGAAGTTTATGCCTTTAAATTCTTTTATCATTTTATTTCATTCTTGGTTTACACTGAAATCAGCTTTCATTCTGAGGCTGTGCAACCAAAACACTGGTCCTTGGATTTAGAAGCCCATCTTCAGATTTCTACTTTGTGCCTCTGCCTCCTGGGGTGAAGTGCTGCCTGAGTGCATTAATAGCAAAATTACAATGTGAGTGTAAGTGTCAGGATAGAGGGATCGTCACACTTTGATGCCAGCATCCGTGTTTCCTCTATGTCTTACTACAGGGATACTAAGGGTAAAGGTTAAAGGATACGGTTTATTAAATAATTCAAGCCATTAACCTGCAACCTGCAACCTGCAAGCCGATGGCATCCTATTAAGTTTACGCTGCCGTGATTCATGTCCGGTGTTTACTGAACCTACAGCATAATGCCTGTTTGCTTTACTTTTATTGCTACACAGTAATGTAGTGAGGAAGGAAGGTGAAAAAAGGTGACAGGAGCTACGCAAGGGGACAATAAGAGCCGCAGACTCACTTGCATAAAGAAGATTGAAGCCTTCCCTCCCTCCCTCCATCTCTCGGTATAGGCCCCAGAGCACATCTGCGTCACTTACGGGGGAGGAGGAGGCGCTGAGGCAGAGAGAAAATTGTACTGTGAGGACCTTGACAGCTTCATGGGCGGGCTTTTCCTTCTGCCTCCTTACATTTTCTGGAATATCTATTTTTCGCTTTTACAAACTGACTATATAACACCACCCCTTCTCGCACTGCAGAAAGCATCTGACTTTCTCAGACACTCGACAAGCTCTGGGGGCATCTTCGGAGAGGCCGGGGACAGGGGCGCAGGTGCACGGAGAAAGCTGGTGGTGGTGGCAGTGCTCTTCTGCGCGACTTGGGGCTCTTTCCGTGCTCTCCAGGCACCGAACTCTGAGCTGCAAGGACAGGAGCGCCGGCACCTTCCCGACTAAGGCTCTGCCTCGAGAGCATCCCGGCGAGGTGTATCCAGCTGCTGCTGTCTTCCGAGCTCCCTCCCTCGCTCATCTCCAGCCTCAGGGTCTTCCCTCCTCGCCATAACCACGGGGCCCCCGCGCGGGGATAGAAGAGTCTCAGTCCTCCGCGTCCCACGCTTGCCTCTGCTCCCGGCCCGGGGGTCTCCCCCAGCCCAGGACTGTAGGACCTGACCGGGGCTGATCCGCGCACCTTCGCCGTTGGCTCGCGGGTGTTCGCCTCGCCTCCTTTGGCTCAGGGGGTGCAGAGGGCACATCCCGCCTCCTCCGCCCCCGGGCTGTGCTCGCCTCCCCCGCCTGCTGGCCGCGAGCTGAGGTCCCTTTCCCTTCACTGCGTAAAGCATGTCAGGCTCCGGGCGAAAAGACTTCGATGTGAAGCACATCCTGCGACTCCGCTGGAAACTCTTCAGCCATCCCTCGCCGTCCCCGGGCGGCCCGGCGGGGGGCGGCTGCCTGCAACAGGACGGCAGCGGCAGCTTTGAGCACTGGGGACCCAGCCAAAGCCGCCTGCTGAAAAGCCAGGAGAGGGGCAGTGTCGGCACTTTCTGGAAAAAGCCTTCGTCTTCTTCCTCTTCTTCGTCATCCTCCCCATCGTCTTCCTCCTCTTCTTTCAATACGCTGAATGGCACCCTGCTGCCAGTTGCCACGAGGTTGCAGCAAGGGGCTCCGGGGCAGGGCACCCAGCAGCCGGCCAGGACCCTCTTCTACGTGGAGTCCCTAGAAGAGGACTCCATGGACTTCCCTGGACCACAAGAGAAAGGGCTGGTCCTTCAAGAGCTCAAAGTGGAGCCAGCCAACTCGAACCAGGCAACAGGTGAAGCATGTGGACACAGGTATAGTAAAGTCTCCATGGAACATCCAAAGCTCTCCCAATTTCCACTCATTTCTTCCTGTATTTTCTTGTGGTTATTAAATCTAAGTCGTTTCAGGTTGAAAATTAGGGTTACGAGACACCCAGTGCTGAATACTCATTATAAATTTGCTCATTAATTTCTATTGGCTCATATATATGACCCTTTCTTTTGCAAGTTTTCAAAGTTGTGACCACCAATTGAACATACATGCATTTTGGTAAATCTTTGAATGGATTGGTTCTCATGTTTTTCAGATCATAATGTTCTGTCATTAATCATACCATAATCTCATGTGAAGTGAATTTTGCTTTAAAGTCCATCAAAATGCATCCCATGCATTGGTCTAGTAACCGAGAGCATATTACCTAAGATACATGTGACTTGCATCTATAATCCAAGAGTAATGAGGTGCAGAAAATGAGGCCACTGGTTAGTGACATTATCTTCTTTCATCCCCCCATCCCAAAACAATGCTATACTCTATCTCAACTTCCCTTTTGTCATTTTACTTTGTAGTCACTTTTGCCTTGTTTGCAGTCTTAGAATTAAACTGTAGCTGAGCCCCTCGGTGTTTAGCTGTCATGATTTATTGGCTCAATGCTGGAATTCTGCATCTTTAGTAAGTAAGCAGGTCAATATTTATTTCTAGTTTATTTCTAATGTTACACTCCTTTGTGTGGGCTTCTGCTGCTTTGAAGACTTATAGAACATCCTTCACACATATATGAAACTCCTTCTGTTTTACATTTTCAGGGAATTGGTTTATTATTCTACACTACAGCATTTCCATGTTTGGCATTTAATGAGGGTATGAAAGGATTTGCATTTAGATTTATGATATCAGAATACATTATTGAAGAAGAACTATAGAAGTAAAAAAAGCTAATAAATATGCTAATTAAATTTAATTACCTCTCAATAACAGAAACAGAAACAACTTTTTAAACTTGTGGCTGACTGAATCAGTAGCTTTGAGAGTTGATTAGGTTGCAGAAGTTGCAGAAAGTATATGTAACACAAAATGATATGTACAAAAGCTCTTTAATTATGTTCATGATTGTGAAAATAGAGATACATAAATTATTCTCACAATTTTTCTTTTCTATGCATTATATAGATTTTAATTTGAACTTTAGCAGCCTTGAGCATATTCTTATGTTCTATGATGGTTAACATAATCTAAGATTGATATTTTAATGGGGGCAATGTTTAATGTGTAATTTTCAAGTATACCAAAGGTTTTCCTTATATAGAAGACTTAGATAAAAGTTGAACTATTATTCAATTAAGATATTTTACCAAAATGATTATAACTTTGGTTACCATAATTGCCACAAAATTATTTGGTTTATGCATTAAGTAGTTACCTTTAATTTAGACTTTTAAGAACAAAATGTGTCATTTTTTATCTTTTAATTCAGTAAATATAAAACTTTCTAAGGGAGAGGGGAAATTATTTATAGATGTCTAGCAATTCACCTGATATGTGAAAGGGAACAAGTTATTTTAAATGCTTGATACTTACTAGTTTATTAAAATGTATTTATCAGAAAACACACAAAATAGAGTATATGTGAGTATGTGTATATACAAATTTTTATTTATGTATTTTTAAAATATTCATACCACCTTCAAATATCTGACCTTCTAGGAATTTTTAAATATCAGAATTGTTTCATATTTTTAAAGAGTTTCTTTGACAGCAAAAACTGTTTTGAAGAGTTTATGTACTTTGGAGAACATGAAAATGATGATACTTCTACTAAGTTAAAGAATTATAAAGAATTAAAAATTATAAGACTAATAACTAGTATCTCAGATTGGAGTAAAATCCACATCCACTTGAAGAATTAACTTCAAGTCATTTACTTTTGAATATACTTCATTGTTTTTATTCACAAAGGGTTGTGACAGGAAATCAGAAAACAATTCAAGTTCAAACAAAACCATCTTTATTGTCAAAACCAGGACATCTTAGGATATTTTTGGATGTTTACGCTATTGAAAAGGAGCCCTAATTTTATTTAAAAATCTTCTAAACAATTAACTGTTTGAGCTGAATCTGAATTTTTGACTAGAAACATGTTAGCAATTACAGTGTTTGGTTCTTAAACTTTCATAGAGCATTGACTCTGCACCCATGATTGATTGAAAACCACATTAGTAAACAATAATTCATTTTTATCAATATATATTTTAATGTATGATCAGAAGAGGAATCATTGCACTTACAAAGTGAAATATCGAGAGGAAATTCTATTGTACTTCATAATTTTATGTGAAAGAATCTGTAATGCGAACTTAAATTTTGTTTCTGTAACAACACATCCAGGAAGGCTACATAGTATTCAAGATGAATGCTATTTTTAATAGATAGGTTAGTAGATCACCAAACTTTGATGCTACATTTGGTGTTTACCATTGGTTGTATTGATTTTGACTTCTATGCTAAATTCATTTTCTCCTGTAACAAGAGTTGGGCCCTTTGATGTTCTGCATAATCCTTTTTTAATCTTCGCTTTACTGATTTGGTCTTATACAAATAGGAAACATTGGGTTAGAAAAGAAGCTCAGTTGATGAAGAAAACACAGGGGGAAAATCTAGTCAAATCATTATGGACTTGAACCAGAAAGTTAGCAAGTACACAATGGTAAAACAATGAACTGCCAAAACTCAATCTTTCCCTTTTCCTAGTTTACTACACTAAACACTAGTACCCTACCCTACCTTAAATAAATGCCAAAGCCTTGTCATTTCAATAATAATATCATTAAGAATATTAACTTTTAGAATAGTAAGTTGTTTATATGTGATATCAATCATTATTTTTTTCTATTTGTCTGTTGAAACTTAAGTTAAAAAAGTTGAATAACCTCTTGAATATTCAGATTACAATATATTTGTGTGCAGTAAACTAAGAAACCAGAGAATAGTATTTCATCCTTGCAATTTATAGTGCTGTGAGATGTCATGTTTTCTCTGCTTGCTTTGTTAGTCTCTAGATTCTTGCAGAGTGCAGTCATCTGATTCCATAAACTGATTTGTATTTTGAACCTCTGGTATCACACATCCACCTCTCTATCTGACTTTTCTGGTGGATGTTATAGAAACTATTTAAATACTCGTACAAAACTGATAATCTTATCATTGATGATCTAATCAAAATTATAATCTCCCTTCTCTTGTGCTTGTCTTCTTTGAGAGAATAATTCTCTATGTAATAAGTTGTGTGAAGATTATATTTTTCAACCTCCTCTTTGCACATCATTTTCAAAATTTCCCCATGTTGTCACTTTTGGTTAGTAAATTTTCATGTATTTTTTCTGCACCCCTTCATCTCCTTTATGTTAATGTAATCTAGTTTACTATACCCCTTCACTCCTTTGATAGGAGTTCTGTATCTGCCATCTGTATCACCTCCCTTCATTATCTTTCTCTTATAATCCAGTAGAAAGTCAGTGGATATTGTAAAATAAAGTTGAGCCATTTTTTCACATCCTTTGCTTTCATTTGTTTGCTTCTCCAAAGAATGTCTACCACTCCTTGATCACAATCTAATCCTAATTGTGGTCTACCTCACCCTAAATCACCCTTCCCTTTGTCTAGTATTTAGGCCCTTCCCTCATCAAACTACTCTTTTACCCTTTGCCTTCCAGACTCAGTATCCTTCACCAAGCCACCATTTCTCCACCCTCCACCTGCACCCCTACCAAAGGACATATAAACTTGTTTCTTCTTCTATAGCATCTCTGCTTTCTCAAAGGACACTTTAAAAGCCAGAGTTAATTCTTGTGTGCCATTGAAATGTACTGGATCAAAGCTCTGTACCTTTCTCAGAGAAGCATTCTATGACCCCTCGCCCCAAATTCCTAGCTTGTATTTTATGTTGTTAGTGTAAATGATGTCTACATTTTGCTCAAGAGTCTTAATGAAAACTTGTAACCAACTATCAATATCTGCATTGATCTTATTGTTTGTCTTTACTGAAATTGCCAGGTGGAGAAGAATGTTTTGTCTGACCATGCAGTTACTCAAATACTCATGAATGAATAAATATTTGTAGTAGTAATATTGACTGCCATTGATTAAGAACTTGCTTTTTCTCCAGATAATGCATTGAATATTTATGTCGTGTAAGTTAAAATTCGTTAGCACCCTATCATCTTGGTGCAATTATGTATGCCTTCATCAGTATAACGATTACATAAATTACAAGACTGAGAGATAGCTTTGGTAATTAATTTGCCCAGAATCATAGGCATGCATGTCATATAGCTGGACTTTTAAACCTTGGTATCTAACCCCAGGTACCAAATTCCACACAATTTTGCTGAATTTTCTTTGCTTCATTTTCTTCACACTTCTTTTCTCTCATAAACAATCACAAAGAACAAAAGAAAAACAGGCTCTATCAAAGGTTATGAATGAACAGTTCCTTATTCCCTTGGTGGAAATTATGTCTTTGAATGTTTAAACAGACTACTTAAAATGACAATGATGGAGACTACTTATAAGGCTCAGTTAAAAAAAAGACGTAGTTCACCTTGGAAAACACTCATGCCTTGAGTCATTCAGCACATTTTATTTTATCATTAATCAATAGTAGGCAGGGATAACCTAGGAAAGAAAAAAAAAATGTTTGGAAAGCAAAAGGTAGCCTCTTGATTTGAAAATCTGCTTCTGAAAGTCAGAAATATTGAAAGAGAAGTGTCACTGAAACATAGCACACACCATTAAAATCTCACAGAGGTTATAAGGACCTGAACCTGTCACTTTGGAAACAAAAAGAATCAATTGAAAAGTTGAAAACAAATAATGGCCGGCGCTTTGGCTCAATAGGCTAATCCTCCACCTAGCGGTGCCAGCACACGGGGTTCTAGTCCCGATCGGGGCACCGGATTCTGTCCCGGTTGCCCCTCTTCCAGGCCAGCCCTCTGCTGTGGCCAGGGAGTTCAGTGGAGGATGGCCCAAGTGCTTG